CAGGCCAATAGAACTGCTGTGCTCTGCAATGCCCAGTCAGTCTAAAACCGAAATGTGACTTTCAATGATCAAACCATATGCTTGAAGCACTCCAACAATACTTCAAATTTTTAATTAACGACAACAAAATACTAAATCAGGTGAAGAGAAAATAGCGCCTTACCAAGTCACCCTTTTCTCCTCCATCTCCTTCTGCTCCAGGTGCACCCTATATCAAAAAAAGACATACTATCAGCCTTCAGATTTAGTCAACATAATGGACTGCAGCATTTAGTAGCGTGACTTGAAAGTACCATGATCTGTAACATGACTTACTTGTTCACCCTTAGGTCCTGGTTCACCCACTGAACCCTAAAAGGTTAAAGATTAAAAAAAAATTCAGAATTTGAAACTGATTCAAAAGCATGCTAAACTATCTTCAATCCTCCCTATCATCTAGCATTAATGCAAGAGACCTTTAAAGCTGCAAATTTTTAATAATGATAACAAAAGAACTTAAATCTTACTATATAATTAAGGTGACAGACTGAAGGCAAGTAACAGCCTGGAACATATAATCCACTGCCGCACTGGATGGTACACATTCTGACTGCCAAACAGTAGATCTTCCCTTTACATGGCAGATGCTCTTGCAGCAGCTACAACTCTGGTCTGCAAATTGCTTAGAAGTTATAAGTAAAATAAATCAGTAAATCTGTCACTTTTTCTAGCCCTATTCAGTATTCTGTATTGCTGTAGGCCATACCAGCCCTGCTAACATGGGATAAGCACACTGAGTCATCCACAAGTTCAGTCACAATCTTGTCTTGCTTGCTGTTTAATTCTCAATGTTTTTAGTAGAACTGCCTCCAGAATTTTGATCATTACAGTCAAAGCTGAATGGCTTGTATCTTAAAGCTGATGTTTCTTTTTTAAAAAAGAGAATATTATGTTTCATCTTAGAATTCTGTAACAAAACATACCTGTGTGGACAGGCAGGAACCAAAGAGGAATAAATTAATGACAAAGATTTAGAAACTTGTTTTTAAGTTTTTTTAAAACTGCCAAAAACAACCGCAAGCCCTATCTAGCCACCCTACAATGTATACTGGGAGCATGCCAGGGACAGGATCCCTCTGTTCCACTAAAGACCTCTACAGCAGTGATAGCTACACCTGACTAACAGTCATATTTCCTCGATGGTCAGTGGAAACTAAGAGCCACTTTACAAGTGCAATTCATTTCATAGTGAAGTAGAAGCCTCAAATAAAAAGGATGAAACGTAGAACTGACTATTTCTATAACAAAGATGTCTGAAGTTTGGAGAGTGAATTCCATCCTCTGTAGCCTACTACAATCAAGAGAAGACAAGGAACATTTTTGGTTTTATATGCTGCCTTCACTGACATTTATTCAGCAAAGCAAGATATCTTCTGCAGGTATGCGAGATCCCCAGGGCCCAGTTCTCCCCTCCTAACAAAATACTAGAAGAGCCATTTATATCCTGCAATTGTATGCATAGGTGTCTCAATCGCTGCGTTAGCCTGTGCATTTCCATAGCAGGTCCTAAGACATATATAAAAGGCATTGTATCTACTGTAGATCAGGGCTGAAGCTCAAAAGCTCTTTAGTGACCAGAGACCCTGGCTTACAATTTCAGATCTGCGTGACTCAATGATTTGCAATACGATTTAGGCCTTTAAATGATTCCAACTCCAAAAAAATGGAAATATTTATACCAATAATCTTATTTCAGTCCCTTAAGTAACACTGTCAAGACTTTTCCTGTATATTTTATGAGCTACAAGTAGTTAATGGCCACCTAGAGCACCTCCTTCAAGCTGTTGACATCTACCTACCAAACAAGAAACTCAACATTAATTCATTAAAAATCATTTAAAAACTGAAAACAATGCTCAAATTATTGTATTTACTCCTGACATCAAACTGCAGTCTGTACGTATGAGTGCATTTCTTACCCGGTCACCCTTACCACCAGGTAGGCCTGGAGGACCTGGCAGTCCAGGAAGCCCAATATCACCCTGGGGACCCTGTGAGAAGAAGTCAAGGATGTAAACTTACCCAACCTGTTTTAGAATGAACAACTAAGGGTCATACCCTGACAAGCAGATGGGGCAGAATCTTACTCCCAGAACAGTCCTAAATTGATGAAAAAGGATTATCTGATGAAAATAGAGCTGATCCAAAAATATAGCCCTTTAAACAGTGACTTATTATGATTTTATTGCTGACAAACATAACAGAAATGGCTTACAGGGCTTTCCACCTTCCAGTCCCTTGACAACGATCTGGTTCTCTTAAAAATACTTCCTAAGATCTTGCACTCTGATGCGCGCATTCCTCTGTAACAGCAGGCTCTTTCAGCCAAAAACCTCCCCAGCCATGCTTCTGACTGTTACTGTGTAAATACTGGGGGAGCACTGGTAAAAGGTGGCATTCATAGACTGCTCCATTCATTAGTTTCACGTAGCTGTTAGCAGAAAGCCAGTCTTTCACTGCCCCTGTTCCCCGAGTACACACAGCCCACACAGGAGTGTGCAACCCAGCCTCACACATCATAGGATTTTGGGGTTTTTTAAATAGAAGAAAAAGTCCCACACATCTCCATGTACTTTAAAACAGCATTTTCTAATAATAGCACAGTCACGGTGGACTGAAAAAGAAATTCAACAATCACTCCTTTACACATTGTGTTCGGTTCCCTGCATGGATAAATGGGTGAGTGTAGTTCCAGATGATACCATAGCTCCTGGAAAGTAAACATGAGCTCTGAATATGGAAATAAACTGCTTACCCATTTCCCAGGTAAACCTGGAGGACCCACAGGACCTGGCTCCCCTCTGCTACCCTTATAGGAAATAGAAGGACATCATTACTTCCTGAAATATTTCCTGTGAAAAGGGAATAAAGTACGATTTTTTTTTCTTAATGTTTAGTGAATTACACTATTTAGCAGTTGGTTTTAATGAAGACTTCTGTTTATTAGTGCAAAAATAGCACATGCATTAAAAACAGTGAAACTTCCTGAGAAATGCAATATTTAGTTGGCATTAAATAACTGAACTAATTCATTCTGCTGAGTGATTATGCACCATGAAGTCCACTTCATGGGATCGCACCTGAGAGTTACCTGTCACGAACACATTTATTTAGGTTAAAATACACGAACAAACTTATTTACGGTAAAAAAAAAAAAAAAAGTCTAGACTGTTAAAGGGAAAAGTAACCTTTAAAAATCCCCATTCATAATACTGATAAGTATAAATATGCTTTTTACTAGATTTTTACTTTATATCTTCACCTCAGATATGTTTATCCATTCAGATCATCGCATTCACATTAGTGTTATAACTCCATCTCTTAATGCAGCCATTTGAATACATACTCTGGGTAAACCTGACTTTGAGTCATATTTTCAAAGATTTTAAACAACTTTCAAACTAAAATGCCTTTCTCAAAAGAGTTCTGTCTCTTATGATTAAAGCTTTCAGAGCAGCTCAATAAGTTTTATACATTTACTCTCGCTTGTACAGATATATACCTTACAGATAAATGCAAGCACTGTCCCAACAGAAGCCTAAGTCTCACTTGAGACACTTTTCTTACTTCCACTGTATGAATACACAAGGAGTACTTGCTATAAAAGCATGATATATACTTTAAGACCATAAAGTATCAAGAACTGAAGTTATTAGATATGTAAGTAGATAACCTGTTATATATAACTTAGAAAATTTTGTATAAAACCACATCTAAGCATTCTAGTACTGTATACAATGGGTAATTTTAAATATAGATATTTCCTTCACAATAAGAAAAATATTGTGAAATAGTGTGACATACTGAACAATAAAAGGAGATGGCAGACATAGCCTTCTACACCAGGTCATAAATGCAATGATAACTTCTCACATAAGCTTAGGAAAACTAACTCTACAATTCAAAAAATAATTTGGTTCTCTGATCTCTCCAGGATACCTAACATAAACAGACTTTCCAATTAATTTCCTTCAAAATATCCTATGGCTTTAAAGATCACTATCCTTTTAAAGCACGATTTGTATAATTTCTATAAGCTTTTTTATGTTAAAAAAAAAAGAAAAGAAGAAAAAAGCCCCCCAAATCACCTTCATCTTAGAACTTAGAAGATGCATTAACCTTTTTGAAAATCTGTTATTTAATCACATAATTCTGTACTACACCTCTGACCTGGACTACTACTTCATTTTTAATGTAGGAAAGAGTAAGATTAAAATTATGATCAGTATTATAACCTTGTCTCCTCGTATATGTCGCAACATTAATGTCTGATTGCTATACACCTAAGAAACAAAAGCAATGTCGCCTTCTGTAGAGTTAAAATCATATAATAAACCTCTTAAGCATATCAAAGGTTCTGCTGGTCATACAGAATACAAGAAAAATTTCTATTTTATTTTAAATGCAAAAAAGTCTTTTGTCAAATATAGACTACAGGCACATTTTCAAACAGCAATGCTTTTCTAAGGTGGTAAAAAAGAAGGTTCGTATACAGAAGACTGGAATACGAAAGGACAGTATTTCCCATAAAGATTGACATGATGTCTGTAAGGACAGATCCCTTCAAACTAAGGGCCACCACTGCAAGATATGCAGGAGTTGTGTTTTAGCAAGTAAAAGGGGAACTGTAGCCCAAAGCACATTCAGGTATCCCATTGGCCCATGGCATAATTTAAAAGACTGTAAAGCTTCCTCCAAGTTAGACCCAACTGAAACGGCCTTGAGACAGGATTTCCGTTGAGCTACTCCTGGTTCCCATCATAGGGGATGAAGGAAAAAAAAGGCATCTTGAAATGTCTTCATGTAAATATTCAAAATACGTCACAACTCATGTCCTAGAAACATCCACGTTTTCCCCAGTGCCTATAAGAGGGTTTCTGCAATAACTGGTTCAGGTGTCGACATCTGTACTTGGTCAGATGAAACCTTCCTCTGTGCTCTAAGTTACTCACAGACAACCATCAGAGCAGAAGGCGGTTTGGCCATGACCTCAGGCTACCTTTCTTACACGCCAGCCCTATATATAACACAGTCCATAGTTGCAGGCCACTCACAAATCAATGGGCATGTTGCACTGGTTTTAACAAAAAACAAAAAAAAAGAAAAAAGCTGAATCTGTATCTTTTATGCACTTTTGACACACTTCAAGGTTCCTACTTTTCCTAGAGGTGGAATGCTTGAAGAGGGAAAGTAGCTACTCTAGTTCAGCGTGAGCTGGGACAGCCTGGTTTGCACCCACGCTGGCACTTCCCTGGCCTAGAATGAAGGGAGGCAGCATGCAGACTGTCACTGCAAATGGCCCCTGAAGCACTCCGAAGTTTGGCCGCTGCCTAGAGATTGTTTCAGTCAATGATGCTAGACAGTGTGGACCAAAAGCAAGTCCAGGACTGCTCCAGTACTGTAACAGTAGAGATAACTGATTTCTGTAAAGTATTCTATCACTTAGCCTGTCAGTACTGCTGAGGATAGGGTCGTTCTCCCAAAGGACGGCAAGGCACATGTGAAACGGCAGGGTGTGAAACGGTAGCACAGCACCGCGGTACTGAACAGTACCAGGATGCAGCCCGTCCACAGCTGACGTGCTAGGCTGCATATACAACAAAACCTGCCTTCCCTTTGTTCCAAGGCAGGATTGCTAGACCACTCAATACATTTAAAATCAAGATTTAATGTCTCTCTCTCAGTTCTGTTAGATCTGTATTTAGCCTTTGAACGTAACGTACACAAGGGAAATTACAGGATTTACAGTAGACCTTCCTTTAGGTTGTCTGGGATGGTTTTCATCCTCACCGAAATTTTGAAGACTTGATTCTTTTGCAGAATTCCCACAAGCAATTACAGACTGCATTCTCATGCTAAAATAGTTTCTTTCACTAGTTTATTGATTTCCTGTTGATCAACTGAGTGGAACAATAATAAGAACGAGAATATGCCCAGGTAATTTGTATCTCACTTAGCTGCCCAGATAATCAAAACACTAATTAGAATCTCTTGACAGGTAATTCACAGTGTATACTGTAATAAACTCTCCTCTACTTAAGAATTTCGTTTTATAATATGCATCATACCAATTTTGTTATATTCAATAGTAGTGACATAGAGAATTAAATCTGTGCAGAGTAAAAAAAGAATAAACAAAGTACATTTTGATGTACTTTGAAATGAACTTTTTTAAACTTAGTATTCCAAAGTCTTTTGCAAAATGTAACCCATTTATCAATATATGCCCATGGGGCTTTAACTTATCATAATTTTTTTTCATCAAAAATCTCAGAGGAATTATTAATTTAAGTTCAAGCATTTCTCCATGCAAGCATCAACAGGACTCTTCCTTTGACCTTCAGTACAGTACTAAAAAGCATCCAAAAATATAAACTATTATTCGCTAGAAGAATAAATATACAGCAAACTTTCTCTGACATTTTAAATGTACCTTTGCACCTTTCTTAGAGTAATAATTAAATTATACTGCTCAGGGTAATGGTAAGAGATAGGTGTAACATGAAACATACCATCCTCTTGACTGTGTCATGCTGCCACTGTCTTCAAGGGTCATACTGTGGCCTTTCATATTGGCTGCATCTATAGTGTTAACTGAAGTCTAGGACAGCTTTAGCACACTAACTCCATAACAAATCAATTTTTTACCCAGGTTACCATGTACACTGCTTAGGAGAAGCCAACATTGGGATATCTGCCGACATCCAGAGGAGAAAGTGCTACTCTGTACAAACCATGCTGCAGAATTGTGCAAGGTCAGAAAGTCTAGTCACGTCCATCTAGAAGCTTAGCTTTACTGCATAAAAAGCGTACCTGGCAGGATGGAAATCCACTTTGTTCTTTTAACTCTGCTATAGACTGTGCAGTGCTAACCTCTTTAGTTGTATCTTAAAGGTAAACTTGTGGAACACCCTTGAAATTACATGTACAAAACATGTCCACTAATACCTGAAAATATCATATAAACTGAGGGAAGGATATTTCATCCTACCAATACCACTACACCACTACCAACTATGGAAAACGAACCATTATTTCAGATGGAGTCGTGTAAAAAAAATACGATAGAAAAGCTAGATTTTAGTTATAATTGTTAGGGTAACCAAAGATACATTTGAGGGTAGGTAAGACAAAAATATCTTTAAAGACTCAGAAAATTATTTAGCTGAAAGTAATTTAAGATGCTGAAAACAGTATTCTCATCTAACTTTAGGTTATCTGACATCTTAGTACCAAACCCGAGGTACTCTCCAGGCTCCCTCTTTATAATGAGCAGAGAGACAAAGGCATCTCTGGAGATCAAGTGAGCCAAACTAATCACTGCCCCTCAGAAGTCTCTGAGAGCGGGCTACGGTATCAAACCTTAGGCAGCTAGATACTTAGCCTCTGTTGCTAATGTTAAGAAAACGTCTATTGCATCCTAAATCCTTAACATATATATGCTAGCCTGCATATACATCATTTGCTCAATTTGCTAGGCAAGCACTGAACTTTAAGTTACATGGTTACTGAAAGGTTCCAAGCTCTTTTTTCAGTGCAAAACCACAGGATGGGATACATGTTCTCCAAATGTTAGCAATCTGAATGTTAAAAAGCTGAAGAAAAACAAGGGATGAAATAAACAGGGGCAGGGGTCAGTATTTTCTGCAGACACAATATGAAAAATTAAATCTTACTAAATCTCAGCAAATATGAAAGAAAATGGTTAAGCAGCTTAGGGAGCATGGCCAAATTCCACTGATTAGGAATGACATTCCAATGTTTGACAATTGCTTCCTTTGGGCCACCTGCCATGATGACTGGCTTAGAAAGGTTTAAGTCACAAATGAGTTTGGTAATTACTTGGATTGGCCAGCATAACATGAAGCAAGTATAAGGTTAATCGACAAAACGATTAGAGTGCAATGGATAATATGTTTGATTTAGAAACAAAAGATAGAAGTTCCTTGTTGCTTCGGTTGTTTTTCTGTTTTACTGAAGAGATGAATAGTAAACTAAAGCAAAAGTACATATTTTTTTTTCTGCCAACTTAAGTTTTCTAAGGAAAAGCAATAATAGACTAAAATGCTACTTTTGAAAGTAATTTTCTCCTAGGGATATTTGTCAGCAGTGAGGTAAGAGTGTCCCAACACATGAGTTTGCCTATTTTTAATTAGAGCTAGTTATCTTCTTTTCAACAATATCTTTCCTGTGAAACTGTAAATGTTCAGAGTCGCAAAAGGCCAAAATTTGAATCTGCTGCTTAGTACTTTCCAACTCCGTTCCAACAGTTGTTTAATAATGAAAATAACATTGAAATAAGATGGTTTATGCTAGAGGATGCTGCAGGCTATTTGGTAAACAGTACAGAAGTATTAATTTGTCCCACAGAGTCACTCATGATTGCTTAATAGCACTCTATTGTGTAACTCCTCAAAAAACTACATACTAGTTGAAGCGAAAATCTTTTCTCAAAAACATGTCCTTTGCAAGTAGCTAAAGCTGAAGAGTCAGGCAATTTTTTTAATATGACACAAATGCAGGCATGCTGTTTTTCCCTACTGCAGATACCAGCCTGCTGCCCATATTAGCAGAGTCAGCTTTGTTATCTCCCCACAAACCTTCACTGGGGATCCTTTCCTGTACAGTTCTGGCCCTCCTGGAGCTACCAGCTGTGCTGTCTTTCCCCAGTAGCGATGTGTAGAACAGGAGTAAGTGAAACGGGAAAGTGAAAACACTCTCTCATGTGGCTGCTGCCATGCAGCAATACATTAAGGGACTCAAGTTCTCCATATCCTCCAAAACTTTAAGTTTTTTTCCAACTCCAAGGAAGAGGCCCAGCCCCTCTTGACTTCTACCTGAGTTTTCTATACCAAGAGTAAAATAGAACAAAGGAGAAAGGAGAAAGAAAAGAACTGGGGTGAGTGCTAAAGAGAAGAATTCAAAACAGGAAGGAAAAGGACCTGAATAGTAACCATAAAATCCTCAGGCTTTGAAAGTCTTTGGTTATAAAACTTCGGTCAAAAACTATCAAGTGTCAAATTTGTGAGAAAATTTGAAAGTCTGAAAAAAAAATACAAAAATATTCACAAGAAAAAAAAAATCTCTTTAGAGCAATTACAAAAGCTTTTCTCAACTTATTTTCAAAAATATCTGGTTTTAAAAGTTTGAAAATCATGGCATGTAGAATTATTTAACCAGCAGATTTTTTTTTTTCCCCAGGAATGTAAGGGCAGAGTCTTAAAAGCTGAGGCTCAACTGCATCTACTACATGTACATGCTGCAGAAGAAAGAGAAAACACTCTTTATTCTGCCCTGAAAATAAATACAAACTCAACTTGGACCAAAGCTCACTGAGGTTCAATAATCCAACCCTGTCCTTCCTGAACAAAAAATCCTGATCATTGCACTTTTTTGTGCAGAAGTAATGTTTTTTCCAGTGTTCCCAGGAAGAAAACAGAAAGCCATTCCAGTCATATGCTGCCTCCAGTCTTGAGCAGAAGGAAGCTAAACATAGTTACTATTCAAGGCTCTTTATAGCTTTAAAGGAACTATACACGAGAAGTAGATTACTATTTAGTGTTCTACATGCAAACTTTATTATCAATAATCTACTTTCTTTCTCCATTTTGTATTGGCCAAAAGTTTTTTTCTTCTTTTGCTTTTGTTCTAATGTTCACATGCTGGTCTCTAGAGTTATAAACAGAAAAATCATTGTATTTAATCTGCATTAAGTATTTCTGTCTGACTACAGGGTTACTAATAATTAACCTTGCATGTCAACTCCTGTTCTATGGACTGCTGATTTTGTAAATTCATGTTCACATTGAAAGGATTAAAAGCATAGTTTAGCAGATTACAGTGCATTATCAGAATGGGCAATTACTTTGGTCTGATTCAATTATAATTCTTATTTTGTATACTTGTAACAGGAATACCAGCTCAAGAAGAACAGGGCTGAAAACTTTTTCTAGCACACCCAACACTTTTAAAGACAAGCAACACAAATAAATGTTTGTAAGCTAGGTATACGGGAGGCTGAAGATACCTGTATTCCATCCTAGTAACTGTATGCTGATATAATCCCCTTTATATATCTTTCATAGGCAGCTGTGGACACAGTGCTCACACAAAGATTCAGTCTAAAATAAATGTGGTCTCATGAATTAATGCATCTAACACACAATAACACAAACCACAGAAGAAAACAAAATCTGTTACTTGGCTGACTAGTGCTGTATGTTTAAGAGTTAATTCAGAGAAGATAGTCTTGACCCATGAAATACTCTTACAAATATATCCCTATCAGTAACTCTCTAAGCCCTGTATGAGGATAACCCTACAACTGCATCAGTAAAACTGTTATGTCATTGTATGACAGCAGAAGCTCAGAAAATCCCAGAAAAGTATCCCTAGGGTATCAGTGGCAAGAGTAGAAGCAATTGCTTACAGAGCCTACAGCCTTGTCAATGTCATCAGACTAAATTTTGCTATATGAAAATTTTCTTCAAATCACTGACCAAAATTTAGTCTGATGACATTGACTATATGAAAATTTTCTTCAAATCACTGACCCTCTCATCCCTCACAGAAGGACTAAAAGCAAAGGGAAATCAGATCAGCCTTATGTAACTTCAATCCACGCCAGGTCCGCTCTAGAGGCAATCAGAAATCTGTACCCAGCAGACTCCATAGTACCCCAAGCATGCCTCAGGAACAGTCATCCTTTGTCTTCAACACTGAGCCTTAGCAAATACCATCAGTTCACTTTCCTTCGCACATTTATTTCCGGCAGCAAGCTACCTGCCCAGCAACGAGTTCTCTAGTCTTCCAAATCTTCCTAGTGTTAAGGAAAATCTCCAGTGAAAGAAACAACAACATCAGTGTTTCCAAGTAGAGATAAGAGCTATAACTTCACATCACTACAGTTACATTCCTAACGCCAACCAGAAAGGGCCAAAGCACAGTCCCAAGCAGCATCCCACCATCATCCTTGATAAATGGTTAGCGTGCTTTTGTCTCAGGTGAACTGGACTTGCCTAGATAATGCCCAAAACCAGTTTTGAGAACACAGGCAAGAGACAGTTCCCCATATGCAACTTGACCGAGGGGGCTGAGGACAGTTTAGCCATTTTCTCTACTAGGTAGGACAGACAGCTATTTTTCCTTCATACCTTGCCTCACTGTTCACGTTATGTGCATTAGAAAAAATTCATTAGCCAAAAAAAAATTCACGTTCTGAATACTTAGTCCCAAGTTCAAAACCTTGTAATATACAGCACAAGCTTCTTTAAGAGGCTGAAACAATTAAAGAAAAGAGAAAGCAATCTACTGTCAGCTAGTGGATTTAAGCTTTTCAACACCAGTGATGGGAGTTGACTGTTGCAGTGGAAGAACAGGAGTCTGGTTCCAGCTTTTTGTCACAAACCACCTTCATTCCCTCTGTTTGGGCTTGTACTCAGCATATTAAAAAAAAAAAAAAAAAAAAGAGAGAGACCAGAAGAATATAAACAAAGGTTTAAAATTTAATTTATCACCAAAGCCAGAAACAGTCATATGTCATGTGCTTCTGGAGTTTTCTCCATGTGATGACACACATCCTCCTGGTACAGAAGGGGCTTAAAAATCACCCAGTATTTACCTTAAAAATTACCACTTGTGCTGAATAATATTTTTACCTCATGGGCAGCTTCAGCAACCAGAACTTGAGACACTGCAATATTACATACACTGAGTTAGAAATTCATTCACTACTTACTGGCGGTCCCCGGGGTCCTGTTGGACCTGCTTCTCCCTCTGGCCCCCGTTCACCCTGTTTTGAGGACAGGAAAAACACAAAATATTTGAAAAGTGATATTTTTTTTTTTGCACATTGCAAAACTTTTCATTTTTCTAGATCTTTTGAATAATCAATGATCTTACCGGTTTACCGGAATTTCCCATCAAACCTGGCACCCCAGGGGGACCTCTATTACCCTGTTAGACAAAAGATGAAAAATATTAGCCAAGCCAATGGTTTACTGCTCCATTTTAAAATAAAAAATAAGGAAATCAATAAGGTCCACCAAAAAAAAAAACAACCAAACATCCTGTACTAATTTTTTAACTTCCACCTTCAGTTTCATTTTCGTTTAACTTTCACCTAATTCCTTCTGTCTAATTTTTCAAAAGTCAGATTTCTGTTCTTTTGTTGTTTACATACTGACAAATCCCGAATAGACTTGACTGCCGTTCTCAAATCACAGAAGAATAATATCATTCCACGTAATTCCAAAAGAAATTCGTGTCTCATTCTAGTTTTCTTTTTCAGCTACTTAAAACTGAATTCAACATTGTTGTCCAAAACATTCCATAGTCTCAACCATACAATACTTTTTTTAATTTAATTGGAATTGATGCTGCAAATTAGTGGTATATAAATAGGGATGACAATCTCTGTGATTCCATCAACTTAAGGCAGCTATAAATATTACTCTTATAACGAGAACCCTCATTGCAAACTGTAGTGAGGTACCCATGTCGCATGCCGCCTCTAGCAATGCCTTCCACAAATTTAAAAGGAAATGGCCCTTTTCGGGTATTATTTAATGCCTGAAATCATGAAAACCACATCATGTAGCAAAAGAATCACGAAAAAGCACAGGACTAGAGCTGATAAAAGAATATATTTAATTATTTCAGCCAAAGGCTTGTCTCTTACCACAACAGAAAGTTTATATTATTTTACTGAATACTTTACAACTCGATAAGCACAAATGCAGTATTATAAAGAAAGTCAATACTCAAGGTGATTTACCTTTGGGCCAGAAATGCCTTTCACACCTGGAGAGCCTGGTAAACCCTGAAAGCAATAACATTTACAGTGCTTATTTGTTGTTAAGGGGACTGGAAACAGTGTTAAAAAACATCTTTCCCCTGTTACAGTATTTCTAGTCCTTTTACTTGATACTGAAGCACTTTTACCCAACAACAGACCAAGTCTGAATTTTTTCTGTTTACAAAGTAACAGATAAGGAGTATTATTCCTATTTCATAAATTGGTAAAAGGAGTATGGAAAAGTGAGGAGTTGAGAAGTTGTGGCTTTTGCTGGCTTAGACTGGAAATAGATTCTCAGTCCCAGCATTCTGAGACTGGAAGTAGAAAGTTTAAAAGATAGTTCTTGGATCCATTTCATCCCCTTCTTACTTCTGTGCAACAGCTCATAGCAAGTATGATTTTACCAAATTTTCTTCCAAGCTTAAGAGCTCACTTTGTATTACAAATTTACTTCTGGTTCTGTTTCAATACAGCTCCTTCACTATATCCTCACAGCAATTATCCCTATAGCATAGTGTTTCAAACACGTTTGTATTTAGCTTTTGACAAGTAACTTAGCTTTTGGCGCAGTTTTCAAACTTACTCAGTTAATGCACGAGGATTACCTTCTGAAAGAGCCCATAAAGCTCTCTGGGTTCCCTATAACTTCACTACAGGGTATACACTAGAAGACTCACCCCCCTGCAGAAAGAAACATGAGTGTGATGCGTTCCAGATGTTCTGAGCCAGCAGAATATCAAAAGGAGATGATTGTTCATCTAAGGTATGTTAGACTAGCAGGTCAGCTCCTCCTGCTCACCCTGGGAATAGGTTTGGCCCTAGTCAATACAATGAGACCAGCCGTAATTGCGGGGTCACACCATAATATCCACAGGGTTTCAGATACAAGAAACCCTAAAAGAATTGCATACTGGCCACAAACATTTTGTAAGATCGAGGTCCTCACTAAGGTACCATGAGGAGATTTAGGCTTTTGTGCTAAAGTTTTGGATACGCATAGCAGAACTTCCCCTTGCATTACACATGCTCTTAGGCCTTTTGCTTAGACTTTCATTTAAATTACTCCAACATCAGCGAACTAACCTCTATATAGCCTTTGTGTGGTTCGCACTGAGCCTAACTTTCAAAGGTAAAATACCAGATACTTACTGGCAGTCCCTGAAGCCCTGTATCACCTGGAGCTCCAGGTTTTCCTGGTTCACCCTGAAAAACATTTTAAGTTGTAATTTATGCAAATCAAACAGAACCGAAAATTTTATTTCTGGAACACAGAGCTGGAGTACTTTAGGATCTGTAGGATGGGACAGTTCTTTCAATTACCCTAATAATGTGCATAAGGCCACAGGCAGCAGCACAATAAAAAGTCACTTACGAGTGAGCAAATCTAGGGCACTACCAAAGCTCAGATATATGCCAACTGTGCCTTACTTTTGCTCCAGGCATTCCAGGGATCCCTTCCCGGCCATCGACTCCTGGTAAGCCCTTGAGGATCTGTAGGATGGGACAGTTCTTTCAATTACCCTAATAATGTGCATAAGGCCACAGGCAGCAGCACAATAAAAAGTCACTTACGAGTGAGCAAATCTAGGGCACTACCAAAGCTCAGATATATGCCAACTGTGCCTTACTTTTGCTCCAGGCATTCCAGGGATCCCTTCCCGGCCATCGACTCCTGGTAAGCCCTTGAAAGGATTAAGGTATTGCTGGAGAGATTTTACCCAAGCACTCTGTTACACAAATTAGCATGACAGGAAGCAAATGAAGAAATTAAATATACATACAGACTCTCCTTTAGGCCCAGGGAGACCATTTATTCCTCTTGTACCTTGAGGGCCCTAAGAATAAGAATTTTTAAAAATGAAAATAAACACATTGAAATGACAGATGCAAGGAATGTCAACACATACTCATACAGATATGCATTACTTTGAGAGTACCAATTATGCTGTATGTTTATATGCTGTAGGTAACCAATGTTGACAAGTGAACACCAGTTGAAATTTGTCTGTGCTCACCCTTTCTCCCTTTGGACCTGCCTCTCCCAGTGGACCTCTCTGTCCTTGATCCCCCTACAGGAAAAAAAAAAAAGAAAAAAGAAAAAAGAAAAAAGATTATTTTAGCAATAAAACTAGAACAAATTTACTTGTATTTATTAGCTAAAACCTCCAATAAATCAACAACAGTACAATTCAGACTCGATTAAAACTGACATCTTAAACTCATTCTATATTTAAAAATACAGTTTCTTAAAACTGCAGCTGACAGCTACATTTTAAAAAACACAGCTCAAGCCATCCCCTAGGAATCCAGGAGTGCCTGAGCAAAGGATGTTGCACTCACTTCTTCAACCCATACAGTTACTGCCTATTCCAAGCATAAATTACAACTGTGAGGGCAGGGAAGAACTAAAAAAACCAACCAACCAAACAAACAAAAAAAAAACCACAAAAAGGCACAAACCACAATCAAAAGGGCACAAATTGCCCTGTACAGGTTTTGTTCTAATGAATTAGTATTTTTCAGCTTAAAACCTGAAAAATTCCAAGCCACCCTAATGCACAGTAGCACTCAGAACGAAGAGGTAAGAGGTAACAATAACGTACTAAGAGGCTAAAATGTGTTCATCTACCCCATAATTCCTTGGGGACAGCAAGAGATTCTGGACTTGATATCACTGTCATATCATTTATTCACCGGTGGTGGATCAGAAGAATTGGATCAATCAGAGGCTTTTCTGATTCACAGCTGCAAAGTTTCAGGACTTGGTATCTAACTGGGTAGGCCCTGGGAAGCGTTTGGCTAACACAGACTCTACTTACAGGTGCACCAGGAAGACCTTGGGGACCTGGCTCACCATCAAGCCCACGAGCTCCCTGCAAAACAAGTAGATAACACGAGACATTAAAATGAAGTGATGAAACACTTAACAACTTATGCTCCCTCCTGGTTTGCTGGGAGCTGCAAATTCTCTACAGCAGACATTTTTTTTATCGCTCTAATTTAAAAAAAAAAAAAAAAAAAAAAAAAAAGGAAGTTAGGCAAACTTTTTTTTTTTTTTAAATCTATCTTGATTTTTCATGGAGTTACGAAAAATCAATATTTTTTTAACTATGGAAAAATGTCATTCAAAGTAAGACATTCAGTTCATTCTCTGAAAAAACATATTGGACAGCGAGAAGGTAGACCTTTTCTTGCCACTTCAGAAAATGTCTGTGTCTTCCTTAATAATACTATCTCCTTCATCACGTAATAGAATAGCATCAAAATGTGAAGAGAAATCATCAAGTGCAGTGTAGCTATTTTTAATCACATATGTTTCATGGAAACTATGCAATTGCTACCCTGTAAGTAATTTTAAATGGAGAGAAAAAAAAGAATGTTTTCAAAAAGACTTACAAAGAATAAGGAACTCCTTTGTCAAACATATGTAGCAAATAGTTCAAATAGACAAAACAGCACAAAGATGCAGGCAAATAACTATGAAGATCTGGAAGATAGAAAGAAGGCTAGAAAAGCAAAGTAAGATAGTAATAGCTTAGCAAATGTGTCTGAGAAACTAGGAAGGATCACCCATGAGAAGATTCATAATCAGGACAAATTTGATGCTGTTTCTGAACACAGACAATCACAGAATCAGGTTTCCGTGATTTCATTTCTGAAGAAGGCGACAACGGCACGATTGCTACATTTTACTCCTCCCAGAAATTTTTACCATATAAATTTATCAAGATAAGAATAGAAATGTAACAGTTTTGAAATAACCAGTTAGAAACACTTTGATGAACAGCAGGAAAATTACCCAGCAAAATCAGAGCCCAGATAAATTGCTGCCAGTGGGATTCATGTTTAAGACACCAAAATGCAAGAGACAGAAAGAATGGAAAAAGAACAAACTCTCAATAAAAAAAAATCCTGACAAAAACTGGGACAATAGAAGCAAAAGGCTTCAGGAAGATGTAAATCACAGGAGAGACTACTTAAAAAATTTTAGCTTTAAGTAAAACGTGATATAGTTTATAACTGCTATAACTTGCTATCTTGCTAACTACAAACTTGCACACATGCCAAACTACTATAAATCCAGGAATCAGAGGGAAAGGTGTGAAGAGTATGTGTACTTTATTAAGCAGAAGGACCAAGTTGCCTTTCTTCCTAACCAGAAGTACAGTAGCGGTGGAAATACAGGTGGCAGGAGAGAGAAAATGCAGGGGGGGGAGCGGAAATGAGAAATTTAAGTAAGTTTTAAAAACATTCAGAAGTGCACATTTTTTTAATCCAGGTCATTTTATGGAAAGAAAGGTTAATACTCACTTTAGTGCCTTTAGGTCCCATTATACCAGTTATACCTCTGATACCTAGGATGCCCTGAAAATGAAAAGTGTATTCAAATTATGCTTAAATCTTTTCATCAGAACTGTCCTAGTTTTCAGACAGAAGACTCAGAGTTCTACATGCTTTCTTTATGCTTATTTTACTATTTTCTTAGTATAAAATGAGAAATCCAGCTACTTCTGTAATAGAATATTTCATTTATACAGTAATTTGATATTTTAGTAATTTAAGAATTTTTAAAAGAATAACAAAACTATCAAGTTGAATTATACAACCACAAATATGCCTTAAGACTGAAAAAAACCCACTGATTTCTCTTCTTGATTACCACAGAGTTGAAGCATTCTCCCTGTGCAGCCTGTGTGAGAGGAACACATGAAGGCCAGATTTGCAAAAGTGCTAAGTTGTCTTAAGCAGGGTAATAGGACAGATGCAGGAGAAAGGTACCATCGGACTTTATAGAACTCTAGAGGCAGACAAAACTGGGAAAGGTTTTTGAGAATACAAGTGCTAAGTGTATATGCCCGCCACACCTGAGAGGCTAGACTGAGCAGACATCCTAGTGCAGCAGGATGTATCGTAACTACCATCACTTCGCTTCAAAATACAGTCTCGTGCAAAATTTGGCTTCAATTTTTTCACCTTCCTGAGAGACTGAAACTACATGATGTGTCTCCTCCCTGCAGCGAGACCAAACCCTCAGCCGTAACGTGTTTGTCCTGCAACAAGAGGAATGCACTACAACTGTGTTAATGAAACAGCTACAGGCACCTCAACGCAGCATAAGCAAACCTACTCCTTGACCAGACTCTAGGTGAGCAGCCCTTTTACTTACCCCTAACAAAGTTAGATGGAATCTTGCACAGAACATTGAAGGCTTTATCAGCTCAAAACATGAGAAAAATCATGATAATGCAACAGTGACTACAGCAGCCCAACAAGGGAGACACCCACAGTCTAATCCTTGTTCCAAGATCAAAGATGGAAGTAGGTACATTGCAATACCCACTACTTTCTATCAAAAGCAACACTTCTCCCAGAGGTGGCTATCTTATGCAAGTCTTCTTGTCAAAGCATGACATAAAAGTGTTGGATTGCAGGTGCTGCTGTGCAGACTGGATTCCTAATCCCTTCTATGGATCTGCACTTTACATTCCTTTCTATAAGAAACATAAAAGAAAATACAACAGTCTATAGTTTCTCTATCTGTGGCTCTAAAGCATTGTCTATCCTCTTTCCCATGGGTTGTCTGTCTGACATCACCTTCTGCATATTATGAATCCTACATTTTAATAAGAACCAATTATTTTAAAGCTTGTTTTTAAGGCCATCAACTAGTGAAACAGTGAAGTGAAATGAGTAATGCATTTAAAAAAAAAGGAAACTCAATCTCTTAATTGGTTTTTAATTCCACTGTGTTATTTCACAGTGATTGAAGAGCTTTATCAAACTGAGTTAAATGAATTGGTCCCCACAGACCCTTCAGACAGCAGAAGCTGCAGCTTACACAAGTACTTTCTCTGTGCCAGAGATACTTTTTTCAGCATCAGACATAAGGAGGATTACACCCTTTACTTAGTCTCTCTTCTTGTTTTATCTTTTGCTAGTCCTAATCCAGAGGTTTATGTTGTTTTATGTTCATAGAGAATTCTGTAATTTATGATTTGGATGTCATGTGCATCAAGGTAAGCTCCTGTATAATATCACATCTGGATACCAAGAGCATTAAAGAAACAGTTTCACACCTAGGAAAACAGTGTAAGACCCTAACAGAAAATAAACTATAGAAATTAAATGTGTTATGCCTATGCCTATTTCCTTTACTTAGAATGACCCCTTTATTCTGTTTCCTATTGCCTGTTCAGCTGTGCTAACTGTAAGAAGAGTTCCTCACAGGGATACAAGCTGAAGAGGTATGTGTCAGAACAAAAAAGTCAAGGGAATCAGGATAAGAAAATAATTCCAAAATTATAGGTGTGATTGAAGGGTGATTCTTTGGCATGCAGAAAGGCAAAAAACTTAAAGGGAGAAAAAAGGAAAAAAAAAAAAATAAAATCTATGCTTCAGTGGCTGCTACTTCACCCTCAAGTCTTAGTTAAGCCTGAATTTCACAGTTAACCGTATTTTAAAACAAACACTGGCTTTGCAATGATGAAGTCAGAGTCATCAAAATTATGGAAACGAATGCCAAGGAAAAAAAAAAAGAAAAAAACCCTACTTGCACAATCTAAGCACAACACAGAATTTAGGACATGAAGTACTTTTTAAAATAAGCCTTTCCATAGAACTATTTAGAGCTTTGTGCCAAGTGATAATGTAGCTTTTCGGAGGGACTTAAATAATTTTACTTTTACTCATAGACAGTATGGCAGAATAAAGAGAAAGGTGTCTGGAGATTTTATAATATCTGTTTTCTTACAATAAGAAAAAAAAAAGATATGACATCATAAAGAAAATATAAAGTAAATGGGTAACACTAAGAGGAAATACTCTACTGGAGGGCCTTGAGCTCCCACTTCACCACTGGGTCCTTGGTCCCCTTCTTCACCCTGGGAAAGCAAAAGGAATATATCTGTATTTAACCCATACCATGCATATTGCTCTTTCATCATAGCAGGTACATTTACTACTTACTGTTTTCTGTCACCATGCCCTGCTTGAAAAAAAATCCAAAGGAAGTCACACTACTTCCTCAGGACATAGACAGATACTCATTTAGGTTTACAGTCTATTCAACTATTAGTCAAAAGTAATTTCAAAGCACCCCCAGTATAAAGAAAAACAATATTTTACTCTTGATCTGTCATTCCTTTTTTCTTGATGTTAATCTGTTTAGGTTTTCTTGTTCTTTCAGACTAGAAGTGTAATGAAGGTATACTCATATACGTGAATGGACTGGATATGCTAGTAGCTCTGTATCACAATACCACGCTGCATTTCAGAATTTTTTAAAAATTAAAAGGGTAAAATGCCTTATCTGGCCAAAACCCTATTTGATTAGATGATAACCTCTCTCATACAATGATAGTGCATACTAATGGAACAACAGTACTTATTGACAGCTTAATTTGCAAAATGGGATTGTGCAGCACAAGACAGCTGTTCAACATCCAGGAAAAAAACAGGCAAGCTGTTCCTAATGTTCCATGTTTTCAATATGTTCAGGAATAGAAAGCAGGGGTTTTTTTAAAAATTTTTCTCTAATGTTTTTCCTCCAGCATTGAAGCACCGATCAAGGCAGTGCAAATCTTCTCAATTCTTCTTACAAATATTTCAATATTAAACAAGGTTAATTCAAATGAAACACCTTAAAAGAGTTCACATTTCAGTCTTCAAACTGAATTAGATTTGGCCTCTTTACTGTAGTTATAATCTTTCTTTGCCTATGAACTTATATGGTGTCCTTTCCCTCTCAAACACATTTTTCCCTCTCATTCTTCCTGCCACTACTCATCTGTGCCACAGAACAATCCACTTGGTAAATCCATGGAATTCTGCCGCATTTAAATGTTTGGAAGTTTTCCAATTAATAAATTTTACTTAAATTCTTGCCATGAGTTCCGTAATAATTAAACTGAATGATCAAAAGAAAAAGCAAGAGGAGTATGACTTCTGCATCATAATAAATACAGAGTACAGGTGAATGAAGAATAGAGATATGACTTTGGTTATTCCGGAGCATTACGATATGTAGTATCTCTTCATGCATTCCGGTAAAACAATTAATAGTTCTAACAAAATACAATACTGTTTTTGAAGAAGAGGCTAAACTACTATTAGCTTGCTAAAAATAACAGCAGTTTTTCCTCTTTTTTTTTTTTGTTTTACCTTATAACCTTGTTTTCCTGGTTCACCAGACTCTCCTTTTGAACCTTTCTGTCCCTAGAATAAATGTAAAAACCAAAACAATTAAAATACTGAGTTTTGCGAAACAGACACAGACTCCTCAGAACTATCCTGCTGTTCCCTCTGCAATCGCCATTCACCACTGCTTCTTCACCTATCTAGTTAACACCACATATTAAGTACAAAGTTCAAAAAGCTCTGCTCTTGGATCTAACAAGGCTGTATTTCTAGGCAGGTTAATAACAAATTACTATATTAACAAATAATAATTTCTTCCTCAGGCCAACAGTATTCCTAGAAACCAGAAAGGAATACAAAAAACCCAAAAAATCTTAGCTAAAATGAGATTCAAAAAGTGTTCACTTCAATTTAGTATGTTATAGGTCTCCTAGGAAGAGAGAAAGAAAAAAGACTGAGGATTTGGGGGAGTATTTAGAGTTTCTGGAGTCAGACTACAAATGGTCCAGTACTAAATGAAGCAATCTTTCACATACTCTAATCCTTTCAGGACCACAGATAAATTTTACCCTGAAGATTACAGCAGCAGTAAGAGATTTCAACAACAAACAGTGAACTGCCCTTTTGTCACGCCAGCAATTACCCTCCCTAGTGCTTTGAGACAGTATTTCTGTAAGGAATGCTTGAACAAACAGATTCTCTTACCTTCATTCCCATTAAGCCAGCATGACCTGGGCGGCCAGGTGGACAAGCATTGGGACACTGGAAAAGCATACATGTAGTTACGACCACATGGGTTGAATAAGGTGGTCTGAGACTACTTAAAAAAAAAAAGAAAAAGAAAAGAAAACATGGACAACTATCTTACCAACGGGTCACCATCTTGCAGGCCAATTGTTCCCTAAATTAAATTAAATTAACCGAGGTCAGTAAAAGAGAGATAACCCAACTTGGCTCATTAAACAATATAGTCATCAGACAAAACAGAAAGTACTACTATCCAAAGCTGGAAGCAGAAGTATAATCAACCAAAGGATCTCCAACATGAAAAGCACCTGAACGGTAGGATTTTATTGAGTGATTGCAGGTACCTGCAAAATCCTGTCCTTTGTCTTAGATCAACTTTTCTGAAAATATTTCTTTTGTTTTTTAAGCTACCTAAAGCATATTTTCTATTAAATATAGAGCAAATTTACCCAAACACCATGAATTTCCAACAGAACCAAGACAATTTCTGTAATAAGGGTAACTTCTACTTTTCCAACTTACTATCATTCAGCAAAAGATTCAGGTCTTTACAGAGAAAATAATCTTCCCACAGCACAAGGATTGGTAGACAAGTGAGATGTCTGGAAGTTAATGGAATTGCAATAAACTAGAGATCAGTGTACAACGAGATGGACTCAGTGGGGGGAAGGTCATTCCTCATATTAAATCAAATACTTGATGGAAGCTAACGGGAGGCTTACGAGGCACAACAGGGAGAAATATGATTTCACAGCAGCAGCTGGATTCTCTAAAGCCCGGTGGGAGGGAGCACACTGTTTCAGAGAGAAGCACAGCGGGGTTTAAGGAATGAGCTGGGCTTCTTTTATACAGAAGGATTTAAAAACAGCTGAGAGTATGTTTGGGTCCATAATGTCATCAACTGGAGTTGGATTGTGGCACTTCAGAAATCTAAAAAGGACAAAACTGTCAAGGAATAGAAGCAGCATACGCCATTATTGAGAATTTGTTTTTACTTGTTTCCTAAATACTCTTCTCCACTTTACCGTTCACATTTTTTACAATGTCTCTGCCAATTCTCTCAAGAAACCTGGCAGAAATAAAGCATCAGAGGAACAGTATAGCTTTTTAAAAGACATTAGTATGACACATGTTTCCCAGCGGTTTGCATTTCACAGCACTCAGCCTCCAATGTGTCCGCCAAGCACTCTGCTTTATCTCTCCGGGCAGGTAAATAGCCACAAGACAAAGGCATAACACACATCCCTCCTCCCAACAGGCTGAAAGAAGAGACCCATTCCCCTAGAGAGGCAGAGTGCTGGTGTAAAGCTTTCTTCTATCCCTTGCAAGTAGCAGGCCTGGTTGCAAGAAAGACGTTAGAACTTAACCCATCTGGGACCATGTATTTCTGGCTCACATGCCAAATATTAAATTTTTCCCTCCTCCTAACAGAGAAAAGTTAACCTCTGCTGAAGTACTACTGGTGAGGATCAACAAAGACTACATTTACATAATATTATAATTCACAGGGAAGTTTAAAACCTGTAAAAGTTACAGTTTAAGACCATTTGCAGAAATGGGAAGACATCATTACAGAAGTTACACAGTTTGCATTTCAAACTATCTTTTAGAACCATAAAGACTAGAAACTTGTTTCCTGAATGGAAGATCAAACTTTGATATGATTAAATGAGTTGTATCTCAGGCTTTGAACACAAGCCCCTAGACATTATGAATTAATATAACCTGCAGAAATCCTAAAGTCGGTATTCAGCTGTAGGACTTGAGGAGAAGTTTTGTTCAAGCTGCAACAATACATAATTCAGACATTAGCACATACTAAAAGCAATCACTTACCCGAGGACCTGGTGGTCCTGGTGGCCCTGGTGGCCCTCTTTTTCCTGGATCTCCCTAAAAAAGGGTAAAATAATTTTGTTGATTCATAGTAATAATGACAACCAGCAGTTACATATTCATACCACACAACAGCGACAGTGAGAAATTAAGTCACTACAGAAGGACAGGCTAGGTAGTCAACTAAAACGTCAACCTACAACATAGGTCCCATAGTAGAATGGGAAAACCGATTTTTTAGTAGAATGGGAGACATGTTGTGGAATAGCAGCCACAAAAAACGAATAAATTTTCAGTTGCTTTAGAAAGCTGAAACATCTGACCATAGGACCATTTATGCACTTCTCTATCTTGTAACTGCTAATAAAGTTCTGAATTAAAAGAATCCTAGTAAGTGGCAAAAATGCCCAAAGCATAGAGAGGAAAAGATCTCCTTTTTCAGACCCTGAGATGAATTTACCAAATTAGAATCTTCTTCTGTTTGTGAAGTTTTGATGTCCAGTGCTTTCAGAACTAAATATAACACAGAACCTCTACAAATTATTTTTTCTGGATGCTTTTAATTAAAAGAAGTCTAATATTCTGACATGGACCACCTTTTAACTTAATACTGTCATTTCAATATTATTTTTGATATGTTATTAAATCATAAATGAAACGAACAAGATGAATATAGAAAAATTATTCACTAAATCTCACAATGCACAAGCTATAGAGCCATAGGTTTAAAAACAGTAAAAGGGAATATTTCTATTCCACACAAAGTATAATTACATTGTGGGACTCATTAACACAATGTGTTGTGGAGGCCTGCGATATAAACGGATTCAAAAAGGGACTGACTACATTAATGGAGGATAGGCTCATATGTAGCTTTCAAAAAAGGCAGCACAGATGCAATTTCCGATCCAGGCAGTCTCTGAACTGCCAACTGCCAGAATGTGGGACAGTATGACAGAAAAATGTCATTTTGCAAATAGCCTGTACACTTCCCTAGGTATCCATTATTGCCCTTGCTACAGACAAGACAGTGAGTTAGATGGATCGTCTTCTGAAACAAACTGGCGGGTTTTAATATTCTTTTTTATATTCATTTATATGACTGAGCGCAAGACAGGGGGAGAGGTACGCAATAAAAAGTAGGGTTCATTAAACAAAACTTTAATGCTATTTCAGATTTCAAGTAAAAAATTAACAATTGGTTTCAATTTGCATCTCAGTGGTAAACTATGGAGTCAAAATATGACAGTGTGCTGAAACTGAGTGCACAGTTTAGCAGTAAGGTCAGTAGACAGAGTCACACTTAAAACGAGACTAAGAAGAAATACTGAATTGCCATGTTCACCGATATGCAAATGGTAAACAGAAATAGTATGTGGTCATGTACCATAATGTACATGTGAGAAGATAGGAGTAAAAATAAAGGTCTGCATTAAATGTTAAGTTTTATGTTTCCTGTATTTCTGGCAGGTTTGCTTTTTGATTTTAGCTTTCCTTGAGTAAGAGGAGAAGTAGACCATGGGACACTATATGAAACATTTAATTCTAATCGAATGGGCAGCCTTGACTTTGTGCTATTCATTGTTCCTTATTTCTGATGAGCTTCAAATACAATCTTTCCTCTACCAGTGACCACTGTAGAGGAAAGAAATATGTTTTCAAGTGCTGTTATAACTCAAACTGTGTTTAGACAGCACAGTAATTATTCATTTTTTCTATAAGTACCCTCTAGCAATTGAATAAACCTACATTTTCAGCAAACATAGCAGTACTTACAGGTGGACCAGCACGACCTACTTCCCCAGGAAGTCCTGCCGCACCAGCCAGACCCTATAACAATCAAGTTAAATAGTATTTTTAAAACATGCAATACCTCTATAACAAGCATCCAAGGAGTGAGAACATGTAATTCTTTCAAACAAACTATGCCTTCAGACACCAGTATTCTGCCTTGCCCCATATACCACAGACCTGAGCAAGGTAGCTGAAGAAAGCATACATAACAGACATGGAACATCAGGATTAAAACAGTCTCTTCTTTCATTGAATTACTTTTTATTACAGTATAATAGCTTTATTGAATATTTAAACAGATTCATTAAACTGTATATTTATGAAAGGTAAAAATGATACTTACAGGTGGTCCAAGAAGCCCCTTGCCCTGTGAAATACAAAAAAAGCTCAGAAGTGCGGGGAGGGTTCCACACCTCATCAAGCTGTTTGCCAAGAACAGAGTATTCGGGATAAAAAGGTACAAAAAACCTGATGTTTGATTTTGCAAAATCATTTTGAAAACTTGTTTAACTAATGTTAAATATCAATTTTATTATTAGGTAATCAATATCAGGAGACAAATTAAATTATTAATTAAGTTGCTTTGCAGTAGCATTTGTTTACACATATTTACAAACACATATACTTCCACAAAGAAATTAAAACATTAAAGCCTTTGAGTTTAGTTAATTATCAAGTAGCATGATAAACTCTTCTATGCTATAATCATTTCCTTCTAACAGTACATTTAAATTGATAATAAAAGATAATTTTTTATATTTTTTTTTTTGCCTGTGCTTCCCTGAGGTCTAAATCCATTAAACTAGCGCTTTTTGGTAAACAGAAACTGCTCCTGTTTACATTTTCCATCAGTATTGCTCTGAATCATTTTAATGAGAAGTGTCCAAGATACAAGTGTGTTTCTGCCTATTTGGAGAACACACTCCCTCTAAGAAAACAGATCCCTCAGTCTTGCATTATTAAAGCAAATGGATACTTTTATGGAGAACAGTGTCAACGATGTGTATGAAACACTGGCATACATACCGGTATTTGTATGTGTACCCTGTGCCAGAAGCTGTGCTTTGGTAGACCTTTAAATATTTTCAATTTCTCTATCACTAAATACACACAGTCCTACCCAAATGCCAGATCTGTAAAACACTAGCAATATATCAGCTAATAGAAAAGTTAGGGGGAATTTAACAGAGAGAATGCACTGAAGAGTGCAACACATGCACAGAATGTAGCAGCCTCAGGCCCATTTACCAGATCAGACACATCTGCATATTTGGTGGTAAATTAGTTGAATTCATCAGAAGTATTCTACTGATTGTGTAAATGTGTCATTTGAGAGACTATCCACAAAAGAGATAAGACAAAGAGAATAAATGAAAACTAAATGATGAAGCAGGAAAAAACAGAGGGAAGGGAGACTAAAAGAAGATAACTGAAGATTGCCAGGATAGATTCTGGGGAAGAAAGGGTGACAGAAGCAGAAAAGCAAATGCTGTGTATAAAACTTTAGATATTTAATATTCTTTCTTTCAGTTACCCTGAAGTCCTCACTTGGACAATGAATTCCACTGGATGAGCTTGAAAAACAGTGATAATAATTTAAAACTAATTAACGTTGTAGCCAAGGCTTCCAGATTTCTGTTTGCACTGAGCATTTTAACAACTTAAACAAAGGTTTATTGTGAGAAATGAAGTCTTTGGAGTAGTCTCTGGATGGTTATCCACTTGCAAAAGGCCACTGACTGAATTTAAAGCAATGCATAATTGCACCTACATACTCAAATAATCATGTAACTAGTATGCAGACTCATAAGTGTGTTCACTATGTTTCTAGCAAACGAGGTCTCATGGATCAAACCAAAGACCTGCAAAGGTTAAACAGCCTCATTACTTCACACTTGTAGTAAGAGCTTCTCAAAGAGTCTCTGAACCTGAGAATTAAAACCATCACACTCCAGCAATACCACTTCTACTCTTCTTTATTTATTTAATTAGGTTTCATTACTCTAAGTTTAATCTCACTAAAGGTAGGATGACCAGTGTTGGCCATTTTGAGAAATTTTGACTAACTGCTCTATTTCTTCAGCAGCTTAAAGCCATTCAACAAAAAGAAAGCCTGTATAAATGGAATTTCCCCAAGAGATTTATTCTGAGCATTAATCTTTCCATATGGATTCTGCATATACTGGTTAACCACCATGGAGCTACAAAATCAAACACTAGGCTTCTTCCTAAAATGTGAGGTCTAAGGATTAACCTTAACCTTAATAACTACAAGAGTAATGACATGAGGTGACCAAGTATATCCATCGTTTCTTTAGCTTTAAATAACTAAGAATTCTCATTTCCTCATTATAAATATTCCTGCAGATTCACTTTTAAATACAATGTCCAGCTGCTCATTAAGCAGAGGCAGAACAACTCCAAAAGCAATCCCTACTGAGGTTCACTGAAGCGTTATCACCCTAAAACTGAAAGTTTCAGGGCAAACAAAAATCCCTAAACTTTGAATAATGGTCCAAAACCTCATCAGATTTTTTGCTTTTACAGTCTCAAAATATGCTCACAAAAGATGTGAATCAGCTAAGTGCTGCTCTGAATGGAATCAGCATTCTACCTTGACAAGTTGGTCCAGTTTGCTGCTTTCCCCTAGTAACAGCTCAAATTCTGAGTTGAGATTAACTCTCTTTATGTATATTTTATATACCCACTTTTTCTGAAGGCTCTTAAATTATTCGTTCTCACATTTGCCTGTTAGCCGTGAGGTAAAATCATGTATATTTTCCCCAAGTGAGTTTTTATTTCAGTTGACAGGCTAAAATACTACAGTATTTTAACCTATTATTTCAGTAATTCAGTTTTAATTCCCCATTTTTTCCTCTCCCATAGCAGTTATTTTCACGTACATTTTTTCCATATCATCTGAGTAACATATCTGACAGTTAAGCTATCTCTTCATTCCAGCTACACATTTTAAAATGCATTGCAAACAACCCAGAAATTATTTCACCATCTACTTGACAGCAAAAAAATGAAAATAAACAAACAACAACAACAAACACCTCAAACCCCTAACAGAAAAATGCAGGGCTTTCCGTCTGCCTAGAAGCTACCTCAGTTCTGCTATTTTGTGTGACTAAATTTAGCTCATATACTGAGTCTACAGATTGACCAGTCATTATACGAGTATTATCTGTTTTTCAGATTTTCGGGTAAGAAAGAGTATCCATGAAAATTAAATGCAAATGTCCACATAGAATGATTCATCTTAAGTTTCAGCTTGTCTGTAATGCTGAAACATTATAACATTATAATTTCCTCTCTGGCCAAATATCAAAATGATGGTTTAATATAAATTTGATAAAAGCTATAAGTTTCAACTTGTCTGTAATGCAATGTCTTCAAGAATAACATTATAATTTCCTCTCTGGCCAAATATCAAAATGATGGTTTAATATAAATTTGATAAAAGCTAATGGGACAGGGTCAAAAGTACAGAGATATAGTCGAAGATACAGAATTTCACAGCAAGGAGTGCTATATTGGAACACAATGCCTCTTCTATTTAATTCCAATAATTTCTCCAAAATTAATCTAATTTTTAATTAAATTTTAATAATGTGCGGCCCTATTATAATTTCATGCCAGTCATCTTGTTCCATTACCCATTTTCCTCGAGGTTTCTACTGGTTTCCTACATAATCTAAGTTTCTACATGCCAACCAGAATTCACTTCTTCAACCCTCTAAAATTCCTAAAATTCACAATTATTTTCAGCCCCCAAAGACAGATGCTAAACCCATCTGCATGCCAACTGGAATAGTACTCTTCGCATGTCCTTTCTCCTATTTTGTCTTTTTTTCATATGAAACAGCACAGGAAGTCCCATACAGCATTTACACTTCAGTGATCCCATTTAAGCACATGGCAAGGAGCTGAAACAGGAATAACTGCAGACTAATTCATGCAAATAAAACATGGGCTCTCTTGTCTCTACAGCATTTTCACAAAGAGATGGAAAACAACAGTATGTGTCCAAAACCTGTGACCACATCAGACATGCTCCTTTCTTTTTCACAGCATACGAACCAAAAATGTCCTTTCAGTAACATCTGCACACTTTGATATAAAGGCAAAAACGTTCTTTGATGTACTACTTTGATATCCTATGAGTTGTTTGAAACCTCAGAAATAGTTTCTGGCTTTTCTTCACTACATTTAATGGTAAGAATCCCTCATATTGATACTTAATGTCTACAAAGCCACTTTATATACTAAATGTATTACTTACCGGAAGTCCACGAGCACCTGGCTGTCCTGGCTCACCCTTTAAAAGATAAAAATTGAGTTTTTCAAGAGGCGCTAGCATAAAGTTTTGTAAACAACATACAGGAAGATGTTCTCACCTTTTGGAGGGTATCATTTAGTGGACATATTCTGCAAGTATTATTCACTTCATTAACGCTATGCTGGTTTCAGTGAGACTTGACAGAAAGGAAAGACTTTCTCAATATTAAAAAGATACAGCCTCAGGCTTTTTTTCCCCTCCCCAAAAAAAATAATTCAAACACGCTAGCTACTCTGACTTCTGATGCATAATTCATTTCTCTGATTGCTGACGAAGTCAGGTTTCACTGTTCTGGTTCCCACTGCATATTACTATGACATAATCACAGTACAACAAGATGGAAAGAGTCCCATCATCACAGAAGATGCTCAGCCTTCACGTCATCAATGTAATGTCACTATTCCTTACTGCTGGCTGGGGGAACGGAAGGTGCTTTGTACTGTGTGAAAACGGCCCAATGAGTCTGTATTCTATAGATGTTTTAATATCGTAAGAAAGGTTGTAGCATCTCGTCAGTCGCACAGAGACAAACAAAAATCCTGCTTTAAAAAAAACACCCCATAGTTTCATGCACAATTTTGTTCTTACCTTCTGTCCTTTTGGTCCTGTGGCTCCACGTGAGCCATCAGGCCCTGTGAATCCCTTTGGAAGTAATGTATAAAAAGTTAATGCAAAGGTTACATAGTTTTCTTAATCACAACAGAAAACATTCTAAAACACAGAATAAAGAAGCTATTAAATAAGTAACTGCAGGAGACTTATAATTCAAATATCTATTTACATGTACAGATAGAACCACCCAAGTTCAAAGTACCAGCTTCTGGCGATAAACTTCAGTGCCTGCGATGTGTCCTTCAAAAACTACTCAGTTAAATCACAATTAAACTACACATGTGATCTCACATGATCTTATTTCCCGTCAATGGGAGATGGATGAATTTAGTTCATGGCTCAGGTTAAAAAAAAACCCCAACTGTCAGTGTTTTCCATTTCAAATAAACCGTTCACTGACCAAAAAAAAAAAAAAAAAAAAAAAAAAAAAAAATCAACAAACTGCCAGGCTGGATTAGAAGTTAGTCTTTGAACCACCCTGGTCAATCTGGCTAAAATTAAAAAGCAACCATGATATTATAACTATGAATTTATTTGGAGTTCTTTTGCTTTCTGCTGTTTCCAAATTTTTAACCACCTTATATGGCTTAGAAATGTCCAGATATCCGTAAGAAAAGCCTTGTTTTTACATTTGTCCAACACTTTTCTTTTTTGGCACACTTCCAGCAATTCAGAGTTCACCCAAAGGGATGTTTTCTCTGATAATTTGCTTTCAAAAGCTTGCATGATCATTACAGGCAATTACTGTACAGTATCTTTACTCAGTCTATTAAACCTGACACTGAAATAGTTTGTGAAAGAAAAATGAGATTTAAAAAGTCAGAACTGCCTCACCAATTAAACATAGAATGTATTATAAATTTAAAACCCCAATTAAAAGTCGAATGCACAGCAGGAGTACAATAAGGTCCTGTGTTTTGTCTTCAAGTGAAAATAAAAAACGTTCACCATTTCAGAACACAGTATTCTAGTACCACATTTTCACTCATTCACTAATATGAGGGAACATGGAAGTGTGAACAAATATCAAAAGGTGAGTCGAGTTTAAAATGTTCTGGTTTACCTGATTGTGTTGCCATGAATTCTGGTAAGGAAAACAAAACTATGCCTTAAGTGAAAATTATAAGAGGCAATGATTTTTAAAGATCTGCTTATGGGTTTTTGACATGTACAAATGGGTTGTGGTCCTGTATTTTTTTCAGGTAGAAAAGAAGCTGTATGAGACACCACTCATTGCAAGCCCATTTCCTCTTACAGATTTGGAGTTTGTACAGTTTAACTAAAGACTGTTTCAGCTCCATGTCCACTAAATCTCTTTTCAAAATTAAATTAAAAATTAACATCTAACAGTATTGCAATGTTTAATATTAAGCTTTTAATTTATGTAATTTGCAATATTCTCTAATATACTAGTTCGTTGTATATAATCTTTATTTTTGATGTTTTAAAGTATAAAAGTATTCTACCACTCATGTAAATTAAGCATAAGCTTGCCTACCTCCTGTCATAAGATCTAAGTACTAACGTAACAATCTTGCTTCATAGCAAGAAAGGCTTTCAAACACCGCTCTTGAGAGAAACATGAACGGTTTCCCAAAAATGTATGGAGGTGTTTTCATTGCCACTAATTTATTTAAGAGATACAACCTAACAGGCCATCGACACTAGATGATGTTGAAACTTTATTCTTCAATATTATTTTCCACAAAGGAATATACATCAGCAGGTACAGACTCTGCAGCAGCTGAAGTCTGGGAGGTTGGTTTGGTGTTTTGGTTTGGTTTTTTTTAAGTAACACTTCACTGTAACATCAGGCCTATAGCGCTGATCCGATTTTTTTTTTCCTTCCTATTTTCTCTGTTTTAGGGAACAAGACTTAAAATTACTAAACACAACCCCTCCACACACCTCCTTCAGGGATTAAACACCAGCTCCTGGCTTGGGGCCATCATGGCTGGTCCTCAGGCCTGAGCTTGGATCCTCCTCTTGCCCTTGCTGCCCTGCTGTTTGCTCAGGGAGCAGGGCATTGACCTGAGGCTGTTTCCAGAGGACGTAGCATGATCTCCTCCCTGCAGCACCTCTGCCCAGCACCCTCTCCAGAGCAGGATGGTGGCACCCAACAGCCCTTACGCTGTTCCTCAGGTGCTGCCTCAGCTGCCAGCAGCATGGCTGTGCTCCTCCAAGAGAGTATCTTTCAGCTTGGAGCCAAGCTCCTGTCCCCCGTATGCACCACTGGCACTCACTGGCAGCTGTGAGGAAGCCAGAGACCTCAAAAGGAGGTCATGCTTCTACAGAAATAGACTAAAACCAAGTACTTTTCTTAAAAAAAAAAAAAAAAAAAAAAAAAAAAAATCCCCAAAAAAATTACTCACATCAGCTCCCGGCTCTCCAGGCAGGCCAGGGGATCCTGGTTTGCCTGCATCCCCATCTGGACCCTTCAGGATTTAAATGGACAGTTCATTATGTTTCAGATAGGAAAGCAGAAACAAAACTCAAAACCTCTTCTGCCACTGCAGCAAATGCAAAGTAGCTGAAAACACTTACCGGTGGACCGGGGGGGCCATTTGGACCTCTCTCTCCCTAACAAGATACAAAAAGAAAAGTATTAGTCAGAGCTACAGTGACCTTTTACAGTCCCTCATGAAAAACACTGATTTACAGATTATCAGGAATAATCCCAAACTGATTCTTATTGTAAGAAATTAATATTAAATCCATGTGATCTCTATTACAGACTAACAGAAACAATCACAGAAACTTCTGACAGGAAATGGGGGAAAATACATAATAGCTCCTATCAGGAATAACGCCACAAATCCTTATCATGTTTTAGTATGAATGATACTATGTAAACCCTTTTGAGATTAGAATTATAAAACCCCTACACGCCTTTTAAGGTAAATAATCACAGCATACGATGCTGATTACATAAAATAAGTAGTCCTGTATTTTCTGTATCAGAGAGAATCTGAAAGGCCACCTTCCCCCCCCTCCCGCCCCAGTCCACTATAGGGTATGAGACCCATCAATTCCTACGTGTATCTGCAGCCAAATTCAAACTCCTCGGGGTCAAATGCTGACAGTGAAGACAATGCAGGTACACCTTAAGGCATTTCCTATTTCCTAGGCAAGGCATGGGAAACACTTACATCAATGCCATCGATACCAGGAACTCCTGGCGGCCCTGGCGGACCCGGGGGGCCTGGGGGACCAGGGAGACCTCTCTGAAAAGGTGTGAAAAACAGGAGCAATTAGAGCCTGGCAAACCTGCGGAGGCCAGTCTGGGGGGACTGGCACAATAAGAGATGGCTTCTACGGGTTAGTCAGGGGATCACAGCTGTGACGAGGAGCTGTGTCCTCACTCCATGCATGTCAGGACACACAGGCCCTATACCCCATCTTAGCTGTTGCTGCGATGACCAGCAACGCTCCCCTGGTCGACAGAATGGGGATGAGGCGGTAAGCCCCCCTTGCTGGGCCCAGCCGCCCTCCTGCACCCCGCAACGCTGGCAGGGCCAGGGAAAGGAGGAGGGGGCTCAACTTCCCAACCGAGCAGGATCTGAACGCCGTATGGCAATGACAGGGTGGCAGAAATAAACACAGTGATCTTTGCAAATCAAACACTGAAATTCGCTAAGCTACTCCAATTACTCATTCAGCCAACACAAAGGAGACAGTCTTGGCACTCGCAAAGAAAGTTTAAAACAACCCTTTCTCTACTTCACTGACAGGCTCAGCTGTCTCCCCTGGTTCCTCAGGACCACATTAGCACCTACAGAGGTGCTTTCTCAAAGCGCCAAGCTCCCGAGGGGGAGGCGGGAGGCACCACCAGCCTGTGGAAACCCAGAGAAAGGTTTTTACAGGTCTCTGTACCTATAATGGGGGGCTCTGTTCTCCTTGGCGCAAGCTCCGGCCACGGCCCCACAACGGTGCTCTGTGGGCAGGAGGGGCCCTGCTGAGGCCCCGAGCCTGGCCCCTTGCTCCCCGCAGTGCTGCTGCGCTGGACACCTTTCCTCCTTACACCAGTCGTACCAGTAACAATCCCGACAGCGGTAGGTATAGATGGAGCTCAAGCCCTGCCATGTCTCCAGACACTTGCCTGATGCCCACCAGGCAGACACACACACACGCACACGGCACCCACGGCCCTG